AAGGGGATAAGGGTATATGGTATAAATGGATAAGGCTGGAAAGGATATAAGGGATAAGGAACTAACGGAATTAGGCTATAAGGAGTACTACAACAAGAGTATGACTCTACAAGGGTATCAGGCTATACGATCTATATATAGATAATGCGAACTGGGTTTTTGTCTATTACCCAATCAAAGCTAAAGGACAGAAGTGCAACTTCACAGGAAAAAAAGCAGTCGTGCAGTATGCACGGGCTCTCGCTAGTATAAAATATAATGTAACTGTTGCTGCTAATCATAAGAATATCGTTTTATTCTATCTAGTTTAGAACATATTTCTTCATCCTCCTTTTACTTAATCATTTAAAAATGCAATAAGGATGTATTAGTTCATGTCTTATAACGATACGTTATCGACATACGATCTATCACAGTCAGTGCCAGTAGACGGGTATAAATTTTTGCCTTATGTAGTTGAATATTTCTTTTAGATTGTGTTTCATAAAAGATACTTACACGTCCATCTCCTTTTTCTACAGCAAACCATTCTTGACAAATAAAATAAAATTTTTCCATTGTTTGTAAGTCACGAACAATAATATACTTGAGAAACCATGATGCAGATGCACCATGACCTGTATTATCATGCCAAATACGAATATAATTTAATGATCCCAATGATCTAAAATCATGAAATATCTACAAATGATTATCGTTTAATAAAACGAAATCTTTTACTTTGGAACAGCCATAATAAAGGCATCAATTCCACCACGTTGTAAAACCTTTCGATGAGGATCTGCAAAAGTACGAACTGATGTTTCATCATTATCGCCGACAAGAATAAATTGAACCTATGACAAAGAAAGAAAATCAAATTTTAAATATAATTTAATATGCTTTTTTTTTTATTTTACTTTTGATTTTGTACCAGCATTTTTTCGATTACCAGTAAAAACAAGAATTTGATAGAAATATTGATCATTAAAATAATTATCTGGTAATGGTGTAACTCCCAACTAAATAGATTTATAAAATCTTGAGAATAATACAAAAGTATTTTTTTTTGTTACTTTTTCAATATCTTTCTTATCTTTATAACGTGCATAAATAACTAATAGAAAATAGAGAATATAAATACAAATAATAGTTAAATAAACAGTTTTATTTTTCATAAAATCAGCGTTAGCAAAAACATAATTCCAATTGATAGGTGCCGGTAAAACCAGAAATCCACCAGCAAATGTTGTCAAATGAGTCGAAAAACATTGAGTTTGATAATGATTTGTTTGAGATCCAACCTTTTTTTTATCAAATATCATGAATCTTTTAATATATAAAGAGAAAGAAAATAATCTTACTAATAATCCATCTGTTTGCCAAATATTATTTGAATTTAAATAATAACAACATGCGGTATAACTTCTTAATTCATAATTTGAAGTGAAATTAAATGGTTGATTTGTTATTGGTGGACTATTAATCGATGAATTCATACAATAACTATAAAATTCTGTTGAATTTAATTCTCGTAAGCCAAATATTACTGATTGATGACCAGAGGTTTGTTGATTATTAAGAAAATACGTATAAAGACTATCATTCGTTAAATCTAAATTCAAGTGTCTTATGTTATATTTACTAAAAATAAACAGAAAATAGACTGTTGCTCTCTATGCAAAACTTTTACAAGAATTTTCAAAGTAAACGACGAAAAAAGTGATCGTACAAAAAGCAGTTATATCAGTTAGTATATTGAAAACTTCTGAAAACACTTTTTTTTTAATACACAACGGCTATTTATATATAATTGACTGGAAACGTGATACAAATCCTTTGGAAGTATGAATTAAGCTCCTCTCTCAAAATAGAAAGACATTGGCAAGAAAAATCGCACAAGATATAATAGAAAATCATGAATTTGAATTTCTTTTTTGAAAATCCAGCAAACTTTTGAGAGTTTTAGTATCTGAAAGTTTGTTTTTTTTTTTTGAGTAAAAGCCATCTTTTTAATTAAAATTACTTTTTTCTTTCAATTCTGAGTTAGGGAGGTGCGGCCCACGTTCATTAAAACGTGAACCCGCAGCTCCCTGCTTGCTCGATTTCGTCTAAATAAATACCACTAAAATTATTCCACACAACTGAAGATTTTGATATTACTGTTGGTTTGATGATTTTCAATGATGAATTTTGTTTATCAATTAACTGTTCAATTTCTTTTTTTTTTGTTCATTAGCAGAGTGCTCTTTTCAAGTAAGCAAAAACTTTTAATTTATTAGAGATTGAGCAATGAAAAAGTGAACAACAAGAAATAATTGTACGGTGACTTTTTTTCTGAGAATAGCCACTAAATAGCTAAAATCTTAATCCTTGACTTATTCATGTACACAAATGTTACCCGATATTGGTGGAAAAAAATCGAGTTCGGATCTATAAGAAACATGAAAACTTACTTGAAGGACAAAAAAGAGTCCATCCATCAATCTGATTGATTGAACTATTTAATTGAGGAGAATTATCAAATCTATAAATTAATAAATAAGCAAGACTAATATTCAATGGATGCATTTCAAAAGTAAGTGCAACAGTTCTATTATTATTCCATTGTGATTGTGTAATGTCAATAAAATGAAGATTAAATAATTGATAATGAGGAGACATATTCATTGAAGTAACATTTTGTAATGTCATCGATGGAATAATTATATTTGGATCACGAAGTATAATCAATTCAATTGGATGATTAATATCTGTTTGAATAGGAATTTCATTTCCATTACGATCAAGTATAGTAAGTGAAAGAGATGTTGAAAGATTTGTATTTGATTGTAATTGAGTATTATCAGCTAATGCAAGTGGTTGCATTATTGACTATGAAAAAGAAAAAAAAAAAAAAAGAATTTGAAATAAACATTATAATGATTAAAAATAAATCAAACTCGAAGTGAAATTGATGTATTATCATTTGTAGTCAATGTAAAATTTGGTGGAATACGAATTTGAGCATTTCCAACTTGTTGAATAAGTTTATTTGATAAAGCATCTATGGATATTGTTTCTACTGAAAGCAATATAGATGATGTATTCATTATCAAATTTTGACCAATATTTAAATGAATATTGAGTGCTTTAGTAATTAATGATATTGTTTCTGTTGTTTGAGTATTGATTTGATCTGCCATTTGTTTTTGATAATAACTATTGCGACCTTTTTGAATTGTTTCCCATGAAAAATCATTATTATAGGCAAACAAATCTATTTAAATAAAATGTCAAATATATAGACAAAATGAAGATATAAGATATACTTGGATTAGCCCATTCAGATTCAAGATTAGTATCATAATCAACAGGAAAATTATTAGCACGAGACCAATCTAAATCAAGAATAGTTGTTCGTTGTTGTAAAGGTCCATTGACACTCTGAAAGCAACAATTAACGTTTTTTTCTTATAAAAAAAAACGATCTTACACTTAAAACATTATTTGCACATTGAGCTATATAATTTGCTGCTGTTTGAACATCTTCACTAGTAATTGTTGTTACCATTGAATGTAAAGACCATGCCAATTGATAACATTTATCTGATGCAAGCATCTATTTTTTTATTATACAAATTAGATAATTGAAAAGCAATTTTAAAAATATTACCAAAGTTGTACGTGTTAATTGATTGGTTGCTTCAGTCAATTGAGCTAATGAAGATGCTTGTAGTTTAATACTATCAGCAGTTGTAATCATAAGATTAGTTATGTATGTAATAAGAGAATCTCGAACATTAGCATAAGTATTTAATTGTTTATTGTATTCAACAAGAGCTGAAGCATTTAGTGAGACAGAAGACTAAAGTGATGGAGCAAAGTTTAATCATAATGTAGGTTTGATTTTTTTTTTCTATAGTGTTAAGCATCTACATCAAATTCAGAGAGTGATTCTAATAGACAACATAATTTCCTATCTAATGCATTCTATTAGCAAGATTTATTAAAAAGTCAGATAAAGTTTTCTGGAATCTGATAACTACTGTGTTCGGTTTTTTTTTAATAAGTCTTGCTTTAGAAGGCATTACATAGAAAACTCTAGTGGCTATTAAAATCACTATGTGGATTTGAGCTAGGTGCGAAACATTATAGAAAAAATAAAGACTGTTTTTAAAGGCTTTTTTCATCATGTTACGACGACCAAAGATATATTTATTAAACCGAGATAGAAAGAAAGACTTACTGGCTGTTGAGTTTTACTACCCAATGGTGATATAGCAATAGTTGTAGATGAAATACCATCTAAAAATAGAAATATGCTCATCAAGTGCAGAGATAATAATGACTTCACAACATCTAAGACATTTGCTCACTAGGAGACTTGATCATATGGATGTAGACGTGGATAAAGGAAAGACTTAAATCCCCATACATTCACAGTCATATGAGTAAGTGTTCTAGAGAAAAATGGTTTGACTTCCAATGACTTCACTTACTTGCTAGAGCAGTTTTTATAGCTTGATTATTCATTATATTGAATTGTTGTGAAAGTGATGTAACTACTTGACTAACCATATTTTGATTACCACTTGAAAGCATTTGAACAAATAAATCATTAGTTGAGTTTTGAAAATTAGCTATTAGATTTTCCATGTATGTCCAATCTGGCACAATGATAATAGATGAAATATTAAATTCTGCAGCACAATCATATGAATCACGAATATAAACAATGATATTGATTAACGATGTATTATCGTCAGTAGTAGATAATAGAAGTTGAATATTAGATACATACGAATGAGCAAACATTACTCGATCTGTTGGATTTGTTGTCCATCCTGCCATAGAAAAAAAAAGCATCAATTATATATATTTATTTTATCAAAAAAGTGACAGAAAAAATACCATAGAATGAATAATCTTTGATGCCATCATCATCAGTCCAATTGAAACAAGAGATGGTAAATAATGTACTAGTTGTACCATTAGTAGGACTAATCGAACAAAATCCATTTTGAGGTGGCCGATTGATAACAAAGCTTAATGAGCTTGAACTTGATTCTGATGAAAAAGAATAGACAACTTCAAAACGCCAGTAGATAATAGAAGGATTGTCAATAAATAACTTATTTATTGCCGTGAAATTACTCGTATTCATGCCTGAAAAAGAATTCATTAATGATGTAAAATAAATAAATCTAATTTACCAAAAAACCAAATATCTCGATAGGTATTCATTTCATTGAATAAAGTCCATTGAACAGAATTTGATGATGAATTCATTAAACCTTGATAAATATTCCATGTTATACTTTGAACTGTTTTACAATCATCTATGCAAATAGAGGCAAGTGCTACTTGAGTCGTCGGATTAACATACTGATATTTGATATCTGGAATACACATACTAGATATAACACAACTAAACAAAAACGTAATCTGAAAGTTTTTTACGATATAATAAAAGAAAAAAGAGAAACTTACACAATGGCAATCATATGCGGATTAGAATCTTGAACATGTACTAGAACAGAACCAGTAGCTTTTAAATAAGAATTTTGACGATGAGTCATCATGACCGTAAATTGATATGTCTGATTTGAAACCAATGAACCGGAAAGAATTATCAATGCTGATTTATCTGAGATTTTAGAACCAGCATATTGCCATGATGTTCTGTTGTCTTGATATAAGAACCCAAAATAGAAATGATGAAAAACAAAACTAGAAAAACAATACTTGGCTGATTTCCAAAGCATGATGAATTGATTGAATCAATTCTTGAATCATTTATTGTCAACATTGATCCGTTGATACTTGGGAAATTGTAATGACCATCGATTCGACAATAATAGTCATAATTCCAATTCTACGAACGGAAAAAAGAACTTTTTCTTTCACACAGACGTAGTTACTTACACTTGTGTTGAATGTAATTGTATCAGGATCAGTAGAATACGCTCCAGGATTGAGAGTGAGATTTTGACGAAATCCATGTGTGATCATCGAAGTTCCAAATTGAACCAGATTCACTATAACACTAGAAGGATTAATTGTGATAAAAGTAGAAATGAAAGAAGTTGAATTCGACAAGGCCATCATGGTTACACTTAGCTTGAGTTCATAAGTTCCATAAGAAAGAGTTTTTGCAGGAATGAAAAGCTCACTACGCGTTGTGATTATCGACTGATCCAGTTGAATTTCAAATGTGCAACTAGAAGAGCATTCTTTGACTGTCCATTTTTTAGTAGCTGAAAATGATTCATTACAATTTAGTTGAAGATAAGAAGTCATATAGATATTTTGACTTCGTTGATATTCTGAAGGTGAACTTAATGTTGATGGCGTCGGAGAAAGTATAATCACAGGAGGATAGCAACCTAAATTCAAAAAGAAACTAAAAACTTACAATTGTCTTACTGAAACCTACTTCTATTCACGACTGGCATTATTAATGCCATCGTAGATCCATCCTGAAAAGTGGCCGATTCAGTTGATACGAATGATGATGTGGTAGTATTGGATAACATGGCAGCTGTTGTAGCTGGTGATGACGTAGTCGTCAAAGGCAGCGTCGTTCCTTCGCTTGCCGTAGAGAAAAATATATTTGCACCAGGTATCATCGTTTCTCGTCCTACGGATATTGAAGCAGTCGGAACGACTGCATTCTCTACTGTTGTCATTGATGACAACACTGTAGTCACATTAGCTATTATGACTTCGGTTGTCAAAGAAGCTACAGTAGTGTTAACCACCACAGTTTCTGCTTCCACCGTTGATCGTAATAGGCTCATATTAGGAATTGTGGATCCTGCTGTGGATGATGGCTCAGTAATATTAGTGACTATAGTATTGGTCGAGTCTGCTGATGATGGTGTTATTCCGTTGGGCATCATGCTTCCTTCTGTCCATGATTGTGCAGCTGAATTAGACGGCATCGGTTCTGCTTCCAATGCTGATATAGTTGAAAATGGTTGAATGGCTTCAGATATTTCTGCCGACGATCTCACACCCATATTAGGCATGCTGCTTCCTGGTCCCGATGGTGCCTGAGTAGTGTGAGAAATCATCATTTCCGTTGCTGGTACCAATGATATTACAGCGGTTTCCGACACCGTGTTTTTTGCAGTACCTGTTGACAATGTTGTATTTGCATGAGACATCATGGTTCCTGTTCCCAACAAAGATACAGTTGCAAAAGACAACATGGTTTTCGCCGTTTCTACCGAAGATCCCATGGTCATATTAAAGGCTGTGCTTCCAGGTTCCAAAGATGTTGCTGCTGTAGTATCAGGAATCATCGTTCTAGTCATTGTTGCCAACGATGGTGTAGTGCTGTTAGACAAAGTGTTTTGTGCTACAACTGTCGACGATACCGTGATTACATGAGTCATTAGGCTTTCCTTTCCCGACGATTCTGCCGTTGCATTAGACAGTGTGCTTGCTGTTACCAACGGTGACACAGCTGTAAACGGTAGCATAGCTTCAGCCTTTTCTACCGACGATCCCATCGTCGCAGTAAGAATTGTACTTCCTACCCCCGATGATCCCTGACTAGAATCAGAAACCATCGTTCCAGTCGGGCCTGTTGAGGACACTATAGTCATATTAGACATGTTGTTTTGTGCTGTACTTATTGACGATGTTGCGTTCGCATGAGCCATCGTGGTTTCCGTTGTCAATGACTCTGCAGTTGTATTAGGCAGCATAGCTGCTGTTATCAATGGTCGCAAAGTTGTAAACGACAACAGAGTTTCAGTCAGCCCTGCCGATGATGCCATCGTCATATTAGAGATTGTGTTGCTCACTGGAAATGATGCTGGAGAAGTCCCAGGTAGCATGGTTTTTATTGCTACTGTCTCTGATAGCGTGGTCGAATCTGGTTGCATCGTTTTTGTTTCAAGTACCGACGACAATGTAATTGTGTGAGGAGTCACAGTTGCTGTTTCCGATACTTGTTCAGTCGCATGAAATAATATAGTTGATGCTTCTGATGACAGAGTAGTTGCAACCTGCAACATCAGAGTCGAATTAGACATATTGTCGCTTGACTTGAATAATGCTTGCGAAGTATCAGAAACCATTGTTCCACTCACTGCTGGAGACGATGTTATGTTTACGTAAGGCATCCTGCTTTCTGTTCCTAGTGATTCTGCAGTTCCATTAGATAGCGTAGTTCCTGTTGGCGATGATGAAACAGTTGTAAGTGGCAGTATAGATTTTGCAATATCTGTCGAGGATTCCATAGCCATGTTAAGCATTGTGCTGCCTGCCCCCAATGATGTTGAAGTCGTCGTATTAGGAATCCTTGTTTCAGTCATATCTGTCGATAATAGCACAGTCATAGTAGACAGCGTCCTTTGTGCTGTGGCTGTCGACAATGTTGTATTTGCATAAGCCATCATGCTTTCCGTTCGCAATGATTCTGTGTTTGCATCTGGCAGCATAGTTGCTGTCCCTGGTAATCGTGTTGTCGTAATCGGTAGCACGGTTTCTGTTGCAGGTACCAATGATGGTATAGTTATATCAGACAACATGGATGTCGTTGCTACTGTTGAATTATTGATGTTTTGTTCCACACTTGCGACTGTTGTTGTCAACAACATTTCAGTCGCATTAAGCATCATGGTGGTCATAGTCGACAATGGCACACTCGAAAAAGGTAGCAAGGTTCCTGTAGCTTGCATCCAGGATGCAGAGCTTATGTTAGATACTGTGGCACTTGCTGCTGTTGATATTGTAGTCAAGGTTGAGAATGTGGTTTCTGTAGTTGTTGTTGATGCCATGTTTGGTACAGTGGTTTCTTTTTTAGTCATATTCGATGCTGTTATTCCTGTTGTGGATATTGTTGTCCTTGATGACATGTTTGTCACTATGGTTTCTGTTGTAGTCATGCTTAGTGTTGTTATTCCTGTTGTTGTAACGTTTCCTGCTGTTATAGCTGTTGTTGTTATAGTCGTGTTTGGTGGTGTAGTTTCTGTAGTTATTGTTGATGATATGCTTGGTGACGTGATTCCTGTTGTACTCATGTCCTGTGTTGATATTATTGTTGTTGATGTCGTGTTTTGCGCTACGGTTTCTGTTGTAGTCATGTTTAGTGTTGTTATTCCTGTTGTTGTAATGTTTGTTGCTGTTATTATAGTCGTGTTTGGTGGTGTAGTTTCTGTAGTGATTGTTGATGACATGCTTGGTACTGTGGTTTCTGCTGTAGTCATATTCGCTCCTGTTATTCCTGTTGTTGACATTGCTGTCATTGCTGTCATGTTTTGCGCTATGGTTTCTGTTGTAGTCATGTTTAGTGTTGTTATTACTGTTGTTGTAATGTTTCCTGCTATTATAGCTGTTGTTGTTATAGTCGTGTTTGGTGGCGTAGTTTCTGTAGTGATTGTTGATGATATGCTTCGTGACGTGATTCCTGTTGTACTCATGTCCTGTGTTGATATTATTGTTGTTGATGTCATGTTTTGCGCTATGGTTTCTGTTGTAGTCATGTTTACTGTTGTTATTCCTGTTGTTGTAATGTTTGGTGCTATTATAGCTGTTGTTGTTATAGTCGTGTTTGATGGTGTAGTTTCTGTAGTGATTGTTGATGACATGCTTGGTACTGTGGTTTCTGCTGTAGTCATATTCGCTCCTGTTATTCCTGTTGTTGATATTGCTGTCGTTGATGTCATGTTTGGCGCTATGGTTTCTGTTGTAGTCATATTTACTGTTGTTATTCCTGTTGTTGTAATGTTTGGTGCTATTAAAGCTGTTGTTGTAATGTTTGGTGCTATTATAGCTGTTGTTGTTATAGTCGTGTTTGGTGGTGTAGTTTCTGTAGTTACTGTTGATGCCATGCTTGGTACTGTGGTTTCTGCTGTAGTCATATTCGCTCCTGTTATTCCTGTTGTTGATATTATTGTTGTTGATGCCATGTTTGGCGCTTTGGTTTCTGTTGTAGTCATGTTTAGTGTTGTTATTCCTGTTGTTGTAATGTTTGGTGCTATTATAACTGTTGTTGTAATGTTTGGTGCTATTATAGCTGTTGTTGTTATAGTCGTGTTTGGTGGTGTAGTTTCTGTAGTTACTGTTGATGCCATGCTTGGTACTGTGGTTTCTGCTGTAGTCATATTCGCTCCTGTTATTCCTGTTGTTGATATTGTTGTTGTTGATGTCATGTTTGGCACTATGGTTTCTGTTGTAGTCATGTTTAGTGTTGTTATTCCTGTTGTTGTAATGTTTGGTGCTATTATAACTGTTGTTGTAATGTTTGGTGCTATTATAGCTGTTGTTGCAATGTTTGGTGCTATTATAGCTGTTGTTGTTATAGTCGTGTTTGGTTGTGTATTTTCTGTAGTTACTGTTGATGACATGTTTGGTACTGTGGTTTCTCTTGTAGTCATATTCGGTGCTGTGATTCCTGGTGTAGATATTGTTGTCGTTGATGACATGTTTGTCACTATGGTTTCTGTTGTAGTCATGTTTAGTGTTGTTATTCCTGTTGTTGTAATGTTTGGTGCTATTATAGCTGTTGTTGTTATAGTCGTGTTTGGTGATGTAGTTTCTGTAGTAACTGTTGATGACATGTTTGGTACTGTGGTTTTTGTTGTAGTCATATTCGCTCCTGTTATTCCTGTTGTTGATATTGTTGTCGTTGATGTCATGTTTGGCACTATGATTTCTGTTGTAGCCATGTTTAGTGTTGTTATTACTGTTGTTATAATGTTTGGTGCTGTTATAACTGTTGTTGTTGTAGTCGTGTTTGATGGTGTAGTTTCTGTAGTTATTGCTGACGACATATTAGGTAGTGTGGCTCCTGTTGTACCCATGTTCGGTGTTGATATTATTGTTGTTGATGTCGTGTTTGGTACTGTAGTTTCTGTTGTAGTCATGTTTAGTGTTGTTAAGACTGTTGTTGTAATGTTTGCTGCTGTTGTTATAGTCGTGTTTGGTGGTGTAGTTTCTGTAGTTATTGCTGTTGTTGTCATTAGTGTTATTGTGATGTTTGGTAGTGTGGTTTCGGTTGTTGTTGGTGTCGTGTTTGGCACTGTTATAGTCGCGCTGCCTATGGTGTTTTCTGTTATTGTTAATGCTGATGCTGTAGTCGTATTAGACATGGCATGACCCGTTATTGTTATTGTTGTTAATTCAGTTGCATTTGGCAATAGGGTTCCTCCTATGATGATATTATTGATATCATTTTTAAATGGAGAATGATGATAGTTTCTCTTCGTAATGTACGATATGTATGAATTGAATAGTTGACAGAGGGCGATTTGAGTATGGTTAATGGGAAATGTGTATGGGAAAATTATTTATCTATTTTCATTGAATTGAATTTTTTTCTTTTTGAATATGTCAAAGTTCTTGTTGACAGTGGAAGTTTTCTTATTCAGCTTTGTCTTTATTGTGAGTTGAATGTATGAATTTTTTTTCAAGAATATGAGATTTTTCATAACTTGCAAAATAATGGTGGACACAACTTTCCGAATGTCAGAAAGATTTTATTTTAGGATTGTCAAATTCTTTCGCGTTATCGAGATGTTCAGATCAGATAACAGGACGAGATTGACACGCCGTGAAGCTTTCAATAGAAAATATACATAACGACTCAGAATAAGTTGGAGAACATGTGCCATCGAAATTCCATTCATTTGATGAACAATCAAATAAATACGAAAGTAAATGACACTGTCACGAAAATCGTAGATCTCCGTTTCAGCAAAAGTTTTAGAGAAAAGATTTGTCAATATGATTGCCAATACTTTTATGTGAAAGGACAACGTCCGTTGTATCGAAACTGAAGTTCTTCTGGGCAACTAATTTTGTTTTTATATTTTACGATATATCATGAAGCTTCAAAATTTCTCTATCCTTTCTCAAGGGTTGGATGATGAAATTTCATATGGTAAGCTTAGTAAAGGCCTTTACGAGCTACTTGGCTTGATAGTATACTTATATTTTCTGGTTTTTTTTGTATTAAAAAATTTCTGACTGCAAATTTTGTGAAGGATATTGATGATATGGGCTTCCTTTTTGTGAGGAAAAATTATATTTAGAGATTATCAAAGGGAAATTCGTTTAAACGATTCTTGTAAATTCATTTAATTTGATTGATGAAAGTATATCATGTTTTCTATATGCATTAATAGTGAACTTCTCAAATCGTTGTTTAGTTTTCAGATGTTGCTAAAGTGAGATGGATTGTAGAAAGTAGTTTTTTTCATCATTGTATTCTCTTTGACTTCCATGTTTGGCTATAGTGTCCTCACAAGTAGTCAATCGACGCATCAGATATCAGCGTGGGTTTTGTCAAAGTATTCGAAATTCAAATATTTTTCTTATGGATGGTTTACCTAAATATCAATTATTTGCTTATCACAATACAAATCGAACCAGCATAGCCAACAAGAATATTTTGAAGAGTCAATTATGAAATTTTGTGACAGAGAAAATTAATTGTAAAATCTGTTTGCAACAGATAAATAAAAATGAGAACAAACTATATTCGTTGTAATGTGATACGCAAAGGATCAACTTTTCAAATTTGTGTGAGGAACTTATGTGAGATTCTTTCAACATAGGTAAATATCAAATCAGGCAAGCGAGAAGTGATGTAGTCGAACATCGTAAACTGAACATTCTAGATAATCACTAATTTGATCTTATCATCAAATTTTATTCAAAACACAACGTACTTGTTCATCTAGAGTTTTTATGCATTCAAAGAGCGGAAAATCTATAGGCATCGTGCAATTCAAAGACAAAGATGAAGATGAAGGTATTCAAGAACAATGTTGCACTTGTTTGACGGATGGATGAAATATTGAATTGTTGTTGTCACATAAAAGGTCTATAATGATATAAGCATGTCTATCCTGGCAAAATTCGTTCTTCTGAACATCAACTCCTAGTCGGCAATTTATTTTTCAGGACTGTACTCATTAATAGGATATTGAAGAATTTGACAACTACTATAAATAGTACGTTCAATTTTTCTCTATTTTTTTCATTCTCTTCTAGTAATACTTATCAGGTATGTTTTCTAACTAATACAGTCTACATATCAAGATAATGTGATATGATTTGATAAGTGCACTATTAGTTGAGTTTAGAGACAAAGACAATCTTAATTGATCAAATTATATGAATTCATAAAAATTATATAAACAAATCTCGCTTTGATGATATTTAAATATGATATTTCCTTTAAAACTTCAAACATAAGACACAAGTATACCGACACACCAATTAACTCTTTAAAAATCTGGACCGAACTCTCAATATTAAATTTCATCATCGAATTCTTTTAGATGGGATAGAGAAACGTGAAGCGTCATGACATATCACAAAACATCTATACAACATTAGTTATTTAGCATAATTTCAGTTTACATAGAACGAATTTTGTCCCTCCAAATAAGACTATTGTCAGTTAGGTCAAAATATCTTTTGACTAAATTTTTTGGTAAAATACATATCTATGGTTTTAGTAAAAAATATAATTTAATAATCTACATCTGCATCCATTTGAATGCTCACTCAATAGATGGTATTGTGACATTAGATTGCTCTCAGTCTCATTCTGTATTGGTATGAATATTTTCTGCTGGGTGATTAAGAGTAAGCCTATTCGTTTTCTGATGTGCCGACCTCTTTTGTGTGTAGTATTTCGCTAACATTTTTTTTTATCTTGTTGCGAGCTGTTTGATATTGCTATCATTATAAATTTACTCATATAAATGTTTCCTAATCGTAAATAACTTCTTAAAAAATTAATAGAAATTTCTCATAATTGATCCGACAACATCGATCAAATTTAATTAAGAACTCAATGCTAACGATACAATGACAAAAAAAAATTTGGTTTATATTGAATATAGTTGGTATGAAAACATATATTTAAAAATTACCTATTTTTTGATTGATAACCAATAGAATAAGTAACCATCGGTACAGGCTATCTTTCGACAGCATACTTCTTGATAAGTATTTTTATTCTAATGTAAAGTGATACACAAGTCAAAAAATCTTCCAGCACGATTGATAACTAACGTTTGTCGAAGACTAAAGAAGAAATTGCAATATGCCGCTGTGGATAATTTTTCTCTTTCTTGAATATTTCACATTGGAAACTATTGTGTGCGTGTGTGTGTGTGTTTTGAATGTAAAATAAATAACTCGGTAAGTGAATAAATATTAAGTCTTTTTTCAATGAATAATTAAAGAAAATTACACTGTAAGCGAGTACAAACATAGAGAGAAAATATTGATCTTCAAATAAATGAATTGCTTTCGGCTTTAGTTTGCAATAACTAGAAAAAAAACAAATTTCTTCAGAAACTTTTCTAATATGTTTTGATTCATCGAATATTAATTGCAATTTAATCTTGATGAGAATAATTCATTTACAAATACAGTGATTCAAATCAATACAATACTTATCAAGTAGAATTTTATTTTATATAACAAAATGAAAATGAATACGATAAATAGAAGTTATCTAGGTTTCAACCGATATTTTCTTTGAATATTAAAATTTAAATAACAAATATGCCATACATATATTTTATTCATGTTTTAAAGAAATCGTTTCAGACGAAACTTGTTTTCTGAAAGACATATTTACGCATATCATATAAGACCGAAGAAAGTTGAATATTTGTTTTTGAAAAACTAATGACGTCAATTGAATTCTTTGTCCGAAAGATAGACAGAATCAACTTGTTTTTTTCTTTGATTATTTGTGTCGGTTCAGATGTTCACCTAAAAAAAATATTCTACGGAAAAAATTCACTGTCTCATAGGAGATTCTTTCTTTGAATGTGTTGATACTCATTAAACTTCTATCAGCAATAGAAAGCTTAGAGTCTTTTATTATATTCAAGCGTACAAATTTTTCAGGGAGAAATTCTGTTGTATCTCATTTATTTTCATAATTTTTAAGCAAAAAAGTTCTCTAAACACCAAAAAAATGTTGAGAGCATTGAAAGACATTTAAAAGACTTTAAAAACTTAAAAGTAATGTTGATCTTGTTCTCTCAGAAGTTTGCAGCTAAAAACCTGGCAAATGTGACGTCCTTTTATGTAACAATACTAATCGAAGTTTCAGTATTAGAGAGAAATTATTAGGAAGTATATGAATGTGGGTAATAATGCAGCCAATACTCTTATCCTCGAATCTATGCCCTCAATATGTAATCCGTTACCGTACGTTACAACTATTCACATGGACCCTTAAGGTTTTCTTAAATAAAATACGTGAGTGGTCTTTAATTTCATCCACATTCACACTGTTATTTCAACAACGATTGATAATGCGATGTATGTTTAATCCTCTGGGAATTAATTATTTACCGCTTGTTATTTATTGTATGTAACTTGATATTTTTTGCGAATCTTTAATACAAAAAGATTAATTCTAATTATGAAAAATTTTTATAGTTTGCTATCATCTTCACCATTATTTATCATTTTTTCAATCACAAATTCTTCCTTAAAATATCATAGAAAGTGTTCGAAACATAAGAAAAAGAAATTTATTTTATTCAATGTTAATGCTCGTTTAAAAATACATTCAAATATATCAACATGAACGTTTTTACTCTCAAATAAATGAAGAAACGTCTCAGATCGGAGATATCATTTAATATTTCTTTAAAAAAGGACCATCAGTCTTTCTTGCTTATTTTTCTTTCCAAAATAAAATAAAAACTCTATTTAACCAAGAGTAAAATTTGTTTTTATAACTCGCCGATCATTTCCAGAAAAAGATAAAATAACCATAATGATTCTCAACTTTAAATCAAGAAATTCATTTTATTTTCAGATTATTTATGAAAAACAATGTAGAAAAATTTCACTTTGTTTTCCTTACTATTTACCATCGTGTTCATATTAACACTTAATATTATTTGTAAAAAGATGATATTGTAAAATATTCTGAATACTCTTGTCCAATTCTTTTGTTTGGATTATCAATTTTTCTTCTTGTAGATCGCTAAAAAAACATCTTATTATACACATTATACAAAAAATATCGATAAACTTACTCATTATCTTTAAAAAAACATTAATTAAAAGCTTTTTTTAAAATTTTGTCCCATACTGTATTGGAAAAGAAAATGAAAAGCGAAATTTCACATGTACGATAAGACTTGTATCGTATTTGATAATATATTCAGGATGTGGGTTATTCTTTCACAAATACCGGCAGCCACAATCATCCACATCTCAGGTTTTCATGTCCTGGCAATGCCCTAATTAAATTTTGACATGTTTCGATTTATGGCAAGATGTATTGTCTGGAACATAATACCCATATATCATTGTTTTTGAAATTTTTTCAATATATATGATAATAATGCAGGTTTAATGGTATTTTAATATCTATAATCACTCATTCAACCATCATGAAAGACCAAAGGACCAACGGTTTTGTCTGACATAATCCCCATAACGCCAATTGAACTACCTCTACCTTGAATACTTGGTTGAAAGTTAAATGACTTATTAGCTTCTGATGCAAGACAAAGTACAAAAGATCGATTTTTTTGGTTGAACACTTCAAAATGAGACTTGTCTGAAAAAAAAAAACATTTTCCCATTCATTAAAGGCTCATTCATAATGAGTATGGGTGAATTGTAAATGAATACAACGATAATGAGGTTTTCGACATGGTTTACGGTTTTTTTAAGAACTTCTCTAATCAGCATAAAACAATCGTCGATGTACTTGTTTGAGAACTAATTGACTTCTCATTTGATAAAACCTATTTTGTCGCCGATTGTCGACTAATTTTTCGACAATCTTTTTTCATTAGCATGAGTAAATGACGATCTTCTTTACAAGTGGTCAATATCTTTTTTCCTTGGCCATGACGGTTTTCCAATGATAAATTTAATTTTTGCTTTAATTTTTTGTTTAGATATTTTTTTATGAAAATAAATAACTTCAAGAAAAATTCTGAATTGATATTAGGATGGATCATGGTTGAATACATATGCATTGATAGATTAGACCAAGTCAAGTGGAGAAAAAAATATATGAAGCAAAGCTAATGAATAAAAAGAATACTTGTTTTTTGTCATTTTGAGCAATACTGTATATAAAATTGAAGATAGATGAATATTGATTTCTTTTAAAAAATAATGACGTCATTTTGAATTCTTTCTCCGAAAGATAAAAAAAACATCAGTTTCTTTTATTTTTCTGCTTCGCCTCGATTTTAAAATATTCTATTTCAAAATTCAGTGCCTTGAAGAGGATTTTGTTCTAAATTTAGGCTGTCTCATCTATTTTGACAACTTTTTAGAAAAACAGTTCTACAAAAACTAAAAAGATTGGAAGAGTTTTGGAAGGAATTCAAAGGATTTTAAAAGCACAGAAATTATGTTGATTTTAGATTCTTAAGGTTTTTCAACTAAGAATCCTGCCAATTATGCAGTCGATTACCGGGCATTACGACTATTCAAATCAACCCTTAAGGTATTATTAGATGGTCTGTGTTTGCCCTGTTTTCGCACCATAAATCATCCGCAATACTATGTTAATAGGCGATTCATAGACTAGCATTATACTGGCAATACATTTGTGCTTGTTAAATCTCTTTTAGTTACAGGGTACTTGCTCCATTATATACGATCGTTTCTGTACCGTATTCTTNATTCTATTTCAAAATTCAGTGCCTTGAAGAGGATTTTGTTCTAAATTTAGGCTGTCTCATCTATTTTGACAACTTTTTAGAAAAACAGTTCTACAAAAACTAAAAAGATTGGAAGAGTTTTGGAAGGAATTCAAAGGATTTTAAAAGCACAGAAATTATGTTGATTTTAGATTCTTAAGGTTTTTCAACTAAGAATCTTGCCAATTATGCAGTCGATTACCGGGCATTACGACTATTCAAATCAACCCTTAAGGTATTATTAGATGGCCTCTGCTTGTCCTGTTTTCGCACCATAAATCATCCGAAATACTATGTTAATAGGCGATTCATAGACTAGCATTATACTGTCAATACATTTGTGCTTGTTAAATCTCTTTTAGTTACAGGGTACTTGCTCCATTATATACGATCGTTTCTGTACCGTATTCTTTACTCTTGACTGAATGTAAAAAGACAAACTAACGAGTAGAAAAGTGAATTCATGACAGGTTAGACTAAAAATAGAGTAACCTCTATAATTTATAGTACCTAATATTTAACAAAAGTACAACACATGAATACTATTCAAAAATCCATTTAATATTCTTGTAATCTCCATAATTGATTCAATACTAACGACGATAACATTTGACAATCAAATATTTTTACGAAACGTGCTTTAGAACATTGTATAGAACTCAACACAAGATATTTATTGATATATGATGCAATCCAAAAACTTTTTTAGGATCTTCAAATTGACAGAAAAAGAATCTGAATAACATACAGCTAAAAGCAACATGATGCTTATGAGAAAGTTTGTAGAACTATTCTACCATGTATTACTTAAAGATACTAGATGAAATTTATCAGAACTATTGATAAACTATCGTCATGCAGTACCTAGTCATAGATTTCAAACATTTTTATAGTGGGAGATAATTACAGAGCGAATCTTTCAAGCATTACTTTTATTAAGGATGACATCAGCGAATATATGAGAAATGGACATGCGTGAGACTGAAAAATCAAACTTGACCAGGACCGGTACTGACATCGAAGACTATACACGACTATATAAAAGATAAATAAACAGTTTCATTATTATGAATTCTAAAATATATTTTCGACATCGTCTGATGGCATTTGTTCACTGAACATTGTTTCATTATCTTTAAACAATCGTTATTATTTCGTTTTTTGAATATTAGTGTGATAAATCCTTTGGTAACAAACGTTTACTGGAAATAAATAATGAAGGTGTTGCTTCTTCTCATTTGATTCACAAAATTATTTTAAATAAAATAAATTTTTATTTGAAAAACATAATTTTATCTATTTCTTTATTTGATAATCGTGTTCTTTTTTCAGTAGATGTTGCATCTGAGCAGACATGAATGGAACTAAAAAAATAAAACTTTACCATCAAGTCAAGAACCTATAATAATAACCAATTTCTTCCATTATTTAAATATCTTTATACTACCAGAAGCTAGCAATGTCCAGGTCTCCCTTTCCAAGGTTTCTCGGAAATGCCTCGACGAAAAATTATGAAGCTTCAAGGCATATAAATTTCAATAGGCAGAGCAAAATTTTCAGATTTTGCTTTCAGGGAGATATGGATATTGCAAAAGCCAAAACTAGCCAGAAGTCCTCCGCAAAACTCTACACTTCAGTTTTTCGAGTTGCAATTTTTTTTTATGACAGCTAGAATCAAATCGAGGTATGTGTGTGTTTTTTTTCCTTTCAAAGGTATCGTTTCTAGGTCTTAGGAGAAGCAAAAGTATTAGAAGCGTCGGCAAAAAAAAAACGTGTTTTTTTTTCAATGATACTTATGTTTTAAAGACTGCTCAATTTTGTCCAAACGACATTTAAAAAAAAACACGCATTCCAATTCGACCGTTCAAAAATTGGCCTTGAGAAAAATGCTAAACAAACTTTCCTATATATATTAGGACATTTTTCCCCCACTAAAGCAATCGAGAACTGGTTGTGTTCAGCATTGTTAGAAGTTCATAATCTATGCCCTCAACACTTTTCGAAATTATTATTAAGAAAATTTTGCATAAAAAAATAATCGCAACACATTTTCTTCTACTAGAGATTTTGAGAGTTGTGTTTAATAAATGTACTACCTAATAAAGAAGGATCCTCATTTATATGACATTTTATAGAGGACAATTCGAAACTATATCAAAGATTGAAAATATTTTGATTTTAACCATCTGGCAAGAGGATAGGTTCTCTTAATACACAGATCATCACCGTACGTTCTTCATTGATTTCATTATTACATCCTTAATAATAATCATACTATAAATAACATAAAAGTCAAAGTAGATCAATCGTTTCATTCTTCTTTTTCAACAACAATCTCAATTCCTTTTTTTGACAAATAAATTCATAATGAATAATTCTATTCGAAAACTTTCTATTATTTTGATTTTATTTCTCTTTTTCTTGTATAAAACCTGATTTACCATATGAAATAAATCGATGCATGTATTTAAATAAGTTAGAAAATATGAGCAGTTGAATGTATACATAAAGACAAGGTGAAAACAACATAGCAAAAAAGAAAACCAGAAAAACGGAGGAAAGGGCTTGTTCTTATTCGCAATGTGCGTGTAATATACATAGAACCTAACTACACACATGTACATATGTCTACGAAATACATTTAAATGTGTGTCACAACGTTATTATTTACAAATAACAATGCACAAACTTACATACTTACAAAGAAAAAAGAAACATGTTCACTAAAGTGACATAGAGAGAAAGAGAAAAAAAGCACGCAGACAAATACATACTACGAATGTATGTTTTTTTTGTTTTTATACAAATAAATAGGAAACACACAAAACACATTTATTATATATTGAAAGACAAACGAACAGATTTTATCTTTTATTCTTTCATTAATTAATTATAATGAAGAAAATTTTGTGTTGATTGTTGAAATGTTGACACTATTGGGTTATAAATATTTGAATCAATCATAGATGGTATTTGTTGTTGAGCATGAATAAATGATGATGAATTTGTTGATTTATTTTCTGTTTCCCAAAGATGACGTACAGCTTGAATTTTATCAGCTAAACCTTGTTGACCATCAATAGATGAACGATCATATTGATTTTCTTGCTGCTGTTGCTGTGGTTGTTGTTGTTGTTGTTGCATATGATTTGGCATTATGTTGTTATTATTTATTATATTACTTCGTTGTTGTAATGAAAGCATTGATAAAAATCGAAAAACATTCTAAATAAAAAAGTCCAAAGATATATTTTAGACTTGAATATCTCATGAATTTGAGTCAAATATAGGATATGAATGAAATCTTAGTGCAAAGATTACTTTTGAAATAGTCAATCATTCAATAAATCCTTCGTTTTGAGTTAGGTCAAAAAAAAAATTTGCTCTAACTGAGACGCTGATGTTCATTAGTGAAAACAAAATTATTTTCTTATACAATGAAAAGAAAATCATCGTAAGCAGAATTCTTTGAAATACATTTTTATATAGAAGTTACATCAATCATTTTTTCTAAGTATTTGTTTGACGACGCACCGATGTACAAACATTCAGTATATTTGTATTGGAAAAGTCTCACACTCGATCTGATCTTCTATTGTCAATTATAAATTGATTAGACGTGTTAGTAGTAGACCTGAAGTGTCCATATTCGTTTTGATTTATTTATACATCATTCAAGAGATTCTATTGAGGTAAGACAAAGACTTAAAGGTTTCAGTTCCATCGCCCATTGATGACGGTTATAGTCGTTTTACTGCAAAAATTTATTTCTAGTCACTTATTTTTAAAAAAAATCAAAAAGATGAATTTCGACCAGAATTTTCGTCTATAAATTAATTTAATAGTCATTAAGTAATTCTGAAAGTTTCAACGCAGATGAACATATCTTTTTCAAAATATTCAATTTCCAAGTAGACTTGATTGCTGTATCCTCTGATGACTAATCGTTGTTTTTTCTTTGGAAACTGAATATCTCGAGAAAGACATGTACGTTTTTGTTGAACTATCAAATATATTTATAGGTAAAATTTCAAACCAAAACTCTTCATTTTGATTTTCTTCGGAAACGAGTGGTTCTCAAGAAAAAATTTCATTAAAACGGCTATAATCTATTGCCAGTATGCCATGGGCATGAACCCTTTAAGACTTTTTCTTACTTCAAGATTATCTATTAAGTTAACGTATGAATGAATCAAAATAGAGATGAACGTCATGAATATTTCCATCGTTCAAATAAAAACTTTCATTGAAATTGTGAATACGATTCGGATCCAAAAATATTAAATCCAATGGGTTCTATTCTATTTCTAAGTGAATATATATAGTTCAATTTTTACTATAGGATTATCTATGGAAATGCGTATCCATTAAGACATGAAGTTGCTTTCTACATTTCATTCTTTCATATTCTAAGTTTCTTAATTATATGATACTACTATATCAAGTAACATCAAGAAAGCAACAATATGAAACATTTGTGGATTAGAAATGTGAAGCTTCAGTTTACTGACTACTAAACGTCTTCAGACTCAATGTCATTAGTACACACTGCAATATTGAAGCGCACAGCTACAATAAGAGTATATTTTTATAGAATTAGTGTTCCAATATTGCTACGAACACGGATACCAATGTGATTAGTACCGCAGTAGATCCTGTGTTTATGACTCACTGTCAGTATTTCAGTATTAAATCGAACGTATCCAAGTCAGATGTAGCACGCGTCCCATAGGGATGTAACGATGAAGGTAGTTCCTCGATTCTATTAATCACCATTTTCTTAGAAGCGTCTGAATTAAGCAAAAAATTGGATGTTCACTGTTAGACTATTTATCGTCACTGCTGCATGCCTAACCCGCTAAGCTCAAGTCAAGACTGACTTGAACGAACTAGAACTTTTTTTACCTGATCAAGTTGTTGTGATGGTTGTTGCATAGGAAACATTTGTTGTCTAGTCCAATTTTGTTGTTGTTGTTGTTGTTGATGCATAATCATAGCTGCTGACATTTCATTTGTTTGTTGTTGTTGCGGCATTGAAAATGATCTATTCATGTATGAATATTGTTGATTTGGTGTAGTAAACCAATTTTGTTGTGTTTGTCGTATCGGTGAAATACGTTGATCAATAAATGAAAATTCATTTGATATTGGTGTAGATGTTAAACCATATTCATAAGCCATACGAGCATCATCAACAAGACTTTGTTCCATCATTGATGAATTATACATGTGTAAATGATCTGGACTAGATTTTACATGATTAAATCCTAAAATGAAAGCTGTTAGTATAATTGTCCTGCGAAATTAAAATGTGAAACACGATTAAATCTATAGTTACTAATCATAGGAAATTACTAAGATACCTGGCACGATGTGTAGAGAAGGAAAGGCTAAGTTCTTACGTCTATACTTTCACACTTCTTCTAGATCGTGTTTCACAGAAAACAGAAAATAGAAAAATTCTTTTAGAAAAAAAAAAAAAAAAGTTCTCTTCTACCATTGTTTATCATCATAGAAGGACTTGATAAATGATGTTGGATTTTTGATTTTTCTAATCTTGCTTTCATTTGAAGACTTTCAGTAATTGAAAGTGGACTTTGATGTCGACGTTCAATATGAAAATATTTACATTTCGTACCATATGTACATTTTTTTCCATATGGACATAATGGATAATGTGTTTCGCAATCATTTCCATCATCATCATTAACAATTGTTACTAATAATGGTTGAAAACTAAATTATATAAAACGAAAAAATTTTATTTTATTCAAACAAAAAGTTTTTTTTTTTTTTTTTATCTTACTTATCATTTTGAAAACGATATCGAATAACTTTTTCTTCTAATATTTGTTTATAAATTGTAAAATCTAATATAACATCTTTCAATGAAACATTTGTTATTAAATGTCCTTTGATTTTTTGTGAAAATTTTAACATTTCACTTATATGTGTATATGAACTTGGTTTATATGTTTGTTTTGACATACGATTTGTATAAACAAGAAGATTTTTACGTTCAAGATCACGTAATACTTTTGATTCAGAAAAATTTTGATCATGTCGATGATGTTTTAATGAATAAGGTAATACAACAAAGACTTTTTTATGTCCATGTGAATGTAAATATTTTAAACATATTTCAATTCCACGCCATGAAAATGAATTATTATTATTATAACTATATAAAAAAAAAACATGAACTATTGTTTTTTTTTTCTTAAATATATTTTTTTCAAACAGTTTATTTTACCTATAAGCAAGATCAATACCATCAATTATATAAACATCATGTGGAATAGTAATTGTGTCTGAAGAATCAGTATCAGTATTTGTTAGCTGAGACATTTTATTTGATGATGATGATGATGATGGTGGTGGTGTTATTGAACTACCATTAACTTCAGCTGTACGTACAATTGTTTCAATGAATTTCGACATATCATCACTATTATTTTGTTGTTGTATAACACTTTTGATTAATTCATAATCATAACCCATTGAAAGACCTTTATTAATTTTTAATGCTAATGTTGGATCATCATCACTAGCACAACCAGAATCATTTTCATGTATATTATGATTAGTTTTTATAGATGCTGGTGGTGGAGATGATGAACATGAACTTAAAGATGATTCATTTTGAAGATCAAAAAATGTCGATTGATCATTATGAATAGAATTTGTTGATGTTGTTGACATTTTGTGAAGAAGAAAAAAAAAATTTTCGTTGAAAACACCAAAGTAAAAAAAAACTTTGCGCCTAAAAAAGAATAAGATAAACAAAAGAAGTAGAAAATTTTGTATTGATAAATCTTTAATGATCGTATGATTTACAAAAATTTTCATTTTTGTTAAACTAATATTATCATTCCTAAACTAGAACTCAAAAAATATAAACATTTCGTATAGGTTAGACGCTTCAATAGGACATCATTCAGTCTATCATAAGAATTCATTGAAAAAAAAACAACTAGAAAGAAGAAAAAAATTAATATCGACTACTTCTGTCTGATAAGCTGTCTTAATTGAACATGTCGAGCGGACGAGGCAACCGGTCATATGTGTATATGTGCATACACGAGTTACCCATCACGAATGCCCCTTTTCGCCAACGCTTTGGTGGAAAGGGTAGTCAGCTGTTTGTCGTTCTTATTTTTTTTTTTTCTTTTTTTTTCTTTCACTTTCTTACCCACATATGATCCTCCATATGATTTGATTTACTGTGTCAGCAGTTGACGACATACATAGTATAGAAGAGTTTACGGGGCGTAAATGAAGGGGTAAATAACGCAGCAAAAGACAAATAAAAACAAAAAAAAAATCGAATAAAGATATTTGCAAATTTTCTGTTATCATTATTCATACGAAAAAAAAAAGAAGATGATGATCTCATATTTCATATAATCAGAATGATTTGCATTATTTAGCTTATTTTAATAAAAAGAAATGATAATATTGAAATAATAAAAACAAAAAGAAAATAAGAAGAAAACAATCTTTAATTAAAACTTAACGTAAAAATAATTTTCTTAATTTAGTAAGAACCTATCGAAACTACAATAGAACAAATGATATGAAATACGAATAAACATGCATGTATTTTTGTTTGTCGTCCACAAATTATAAATGGTGACAACGCCTACCATCCTCATTTGTGATTGTTCGCCAGAGGACTCTCTTAATATGTTTTATAGATTTATTATGAATTCTATATGATGCTTTTCATTAGAATATTTCATAGAAACTCTATTTAGTTTTTAATATATATGACTATCAGAGACAGAGTACGTTCGTATCCGGAAGCACATCAATTATTAATGACTTCTATTTTATTACTTACATGAAATAGATTTTTAGTTTCTTTTGTTTTTATTAATAAGAAAACTTTTTATTATCTATCTATTAAAGTAATAAAAAATTTTTATATAATAGATAAAGATCTTTATGAAAACAATCAATAGTTTATGAGACATAGGTTTTCCTTATTGTTTTTTTTTTGATTAAGATCAACGTAAACTTTTCTAGATGGGAAAATAATTTAGGGAGTTATTTGTGTAAATCTATGCTATCATGAGATGATATAAGAAGAAAAAAAATTAAATGATATCTTTATTGTGAAAAGTTTTTGAAGCTAAAAGTTAATCATATATATATATATAGGTCAAAGTATATACAGGATGTGGAAAAAGTTTTGCGATATTTTTTGTTTTTGCATGTTTCTATGTTTAGAAGCATGGTAGAAGATTGATTTTTTTCAAAAGATGCCTAATTTAATACTCTATTAGAATTGTGAAACCAAATATTTTTAGCTCTTTTTTGAAATTTGAATAAATCAATAAAGGTAAAGATGTCTATTGTTGCATTATTTCCAATTATAAGAAATTCGAGACACTGTCGATATTTTTGAATAAAGCACATTAGGTACAATTCATTCAATCTCGAGCACAACATTTTGGAAAAAAAGGAACTATAATGAGTCTTGTAAAACAGAAAGGTTATCGCCTATTTTGAGGTTAAGCGTAAAGCTTCGTAATATATTTTATTCAAAAAGCATTGATCTTGTTGCACTGGTATCTAATTCATGCACTTCCAGATCATACTAAGACTGAAGTGGCAACAAAAAAAGAGACATGAACTGAAACGAATGTTGTACGAAGAAATATCAGGAGATAATGTGTTCAAGTGAAAATGGGAAATAGACGTCAAACAGAAATAATCACTGATTATTGATCAAATATCAACATTTCGATAATTCTTTTAGATTTTTGCACTAGTAAGTTCAATCTTCTTATTTAGTGTACCATTCAACTCGACAACTTTAGTTGTCAATACTTCAAATTCATAATTTCAGGATTTTCCTGATTTCTTATACTGGTTGATAGAGTATTAAATTGGGCATCTGTTGAAAAAAAAAGCAACATTCTACCATGCTTCTAAATGGAGAAACATGCAAAACAAAAAATGTCGCAAGAACTTTTGTCATCTTCGATATGGGAGGAAAATGAAGATATTTTGATTCATATAGAATGGAACTTGAAATTTTATTTTAAAAAAGAAATGTCTAGTTTTAATCTTCTATTGCTCCCTCACTCCGCTTTGTCACTGTAGTAATAAAGTGCAGAACAATTGCAGAATATAATGAAAATAGATAAGTTACAAAATCAAAAAGTTTGACAAAAACCATAAAAGTTGGATTCTAACTAAAATATTTTTCTATCAGCAAATAAGATATAAGCATAAAATTTACTTATATCACACAAAATGATAGAGCAAATCATTCTTTAAAAAATAAGACATCTCCGAGCTCTATAAAACGTTTTTTCTTCGTCGAACTATATGCAGACTTTCGGAAGACCTCAGAGAATTTTTATTAAATCGTTCTCTTTCCAATAGTCTCTAGACTGATCAAACGAGAGTACGTCTGATCGATCTGTTCATACTATCGATATATCGGAGAGAGCAGTACTTTATTCAAAAGGTTGTTACATCAGCAGCTCAAACTGGAATCGCTATGAAGAGTAAAGGATTAAGAGATTATGTTTTATTAACAATGATCAAAGTATGTTTGAGTTTGTCTTGATCATCTTAAGAGTATATGTACGGCAATTAAAGTCGTCATAATAAAGTATTAAAAATTAGACTTGAATTAAAACTATTCTTTTTTTTTTTTAATCTTCGAATCTCATTTTTATTTAAGAAAATATATAGTCACAATAATAGTCGAATTAAAATGACAGATAAAAATCCATGTGATGAAAATCGATGATTTTATCGTGATTTATTAATCTAATGAATTGTAATATGATGTTGCAATGAGATTGTCGAAAAGGATGATTTTGATTGGAAATCAAATTTCATTCATCATTTATTATGTTTGATGTTTTATACTCAACTCAAATGCTTTTCGAGTGTCGTATTGACTAACGATTATCATTAGTTTGATAGGCGATAAATTTCATGCACGCGGTATTAATGTTAGTCAACTAAAGACTCACATCTCTCATCTTTTTGAAAAATGATTACTTAAATACCTGGAAAAAAAAATACCAAATAAAATGTTATAGTTAATCATTCCTGTTGCGATGAAATTGTCATTTATCTCACGTATGAAAAATTATCGATAAAATATAGTTAATCACCTAGTTCTCTAATATCATGATTAATCGTCCAAACTGATGAGACCTTTACAACATAGTAAGAATCTCCTATTGTCCAATATAACGAAAACTTTGATTCTTCATCTATTAAGAATACAGTCTTGCAATATGTCTAGTTGAAAAAATAAGTATACAAAATAGATGCATTACATAAGTCTAAAAATGGTTAGATATCAAATGTTTGAATCATACTATTGAGAAAAAATTGTTATGAAAGTTCTATATTTCTATTCAGAAGAAAGTATTGAGAAATGATAAGTCAATTTCTGTAATAATCTTTTTTTTTCGATTTCAATTGAGATTTCCTAGTTATTTAGTCGATCTTTGACTTATTGTTTCAGTGATATAATTTCTTACTAGTCGAACACAGAGAAATGTCGATGCCACCTCGGAAATTACTTACTTGAAATATGTTAACTTGTGCTTTCCTCGTTGTTATATCTGCTCTTATCAATATCCTAGATCTATTATTAATCTAAATATATTTTTATCAGACGGATAAACAAGTTTACTTTTTGTACGGCTGTTAGAATTATGACAAGCGATGAATATCTTCAGCCGCTTATGTTTGTCATCTCTTTTGGTTAGCCTTGTCTGTCAGTCATGAACTGTGTATGTTTTTTTTACATAAAAATATCATGATAATAATTGATGGAAAGGAGAAGTAGAGTATTTTTGATAAGAAAACAGGGAAATTATGGATAACGAAACAACATTAACTATACGAAACATTAATTTAATAAAATATGTATCAGTCAAGCATTGACAAGAAAAAAGTAAATATAAACATTTTGAAAAACATAGAGTCTAGTTTTTGATGAACTATGTAGTTGAAAAGAGAATATCAAATCCTGTCATATGATGACAGTAGTATACGTATATACAAAAAGAATTAGTCAACGTCTTATGCAGGATAATAATAATAATAACCTATTACAAAGTATGGACAATAATTTTGCGAAACAAATAAACAATCTATCAAAATGTTTTACTTTGTTTACAGCACTTTGCAATATACTAAAGACTCGATTTTCCGACTCATTCAATAGAAAATTTTGTGATCACGACAAAACTATTGACTTTATTTTTTACAATATGTTTTATGAAAGTATATGTTTCTCATGTTTGATTTTGAAAATAAAGCATTACACATCAATAAATCGAAAATTTTATGATCTGTACTGTTACGAATCTCTAAAAGTTACTGGTAGTATGGGTCCGAAAATTAACAGCTGTCAATGTTTTTGGATGTTCATGCGTTTCAAAACTTAGGATTGATGTATGAAACGTTTATTTCCATGTCATTGAATATAAAATTTAATTCTTATCAAAATAATGAGATGGTAAAGTTAAATAATGAAAATTCAATAGGCATTAATATTTTCAATATTATAACAATTAGAAAAAAGTATTGTAAAAACAGACTCAATAGTTTTCGTAGCGAAAAAATATTCACTATTGAATGAGACTAAAACCGAGTGTTTAGTAAGTTAGAGGTGTCGTAAAAGGAGAGACATATTTAGATTTGTCTGTTATGTACGACTTATTAAAAATAAACAACGAATAATTTAATCACAGTCTATTTTAAATTAAGATTTTGTCTTGCCAAAATGATTCAAAAAAATAATTACTCATCTTTCAGAAGCACAGATAACAGTTAATCGTAATTAACGGTCGATTTTCTATTTTATTCAAAACAAAAAATACAGTGTGAAAAAAATTTACAAGTTATAGTAGAAATTCAATTTTATATATACTAACTTTGTTTCTGAGATGACGAAATTCTGTGCGACTAATTGTTGATACTGCCAACATGGTCATTTTTTGTACATGATGAATTGCTTTCTTTATTTCTTCATCAAAAGAATCATAGTTCTTCACTTTATTTCATTGAATATAATTGATGATAGCAAAGCATACTTCTTCTGATGACTATTTATAATTGTTTATAAAATACATGTCACTTTATGCCAACCGAAATTCAGAAAGATGGCCCATTACCAGTAGAAGAACCTGCTGGAAATTCATGGATCACGGTACCGAAATCGTTCATCTGAGAGGGAACATATTCAACTGTCAAATCGCTTTTGGATCGGGCATGTGCGCAAACAATAGACCTCAGTGAATTATTAAAAGCCCTAGAATGGTTTGGTTTTCCAGCCTTCTGTTGTCGAGTTATGGGCCTTTTACTCGATTTTGGCTTATGGGCATAAGATTCTTCTGAGTACCTGAATGATCGAATTTCAAACTGAAACTTTGCCCATAGATAAAACTTATAAGCACTAAAAACTCCCCAAAGTTTGAGCCAGAACGAACGCATCCTTATCGAGATATCAGCTTGCCATGAAAATGCCTCTATTTTGAAACACAGCTGAAAACTGGGCGTTTCTTTAAAATGTTAATATCTCGATAAGGATACATTTATTCTGGCTCAAACTTTGAGGAGTTTCTAGTGCTTATAAGGCAAATCTATGGACAAAGTTTCAGTTTGAAATTCGATCATTCAGGTACTCAGAAGAATCTTATGCCCTAAGCCAAAATCGAGTAAAAGGCCCATAACTCGACAACAGAAGGCTGGAAAACCAAACCATTCTAGGGCTTTTAATAACTCACTGAGGTCTATTGTTTGCGCACATGACCGATCCAAAAGCGATTTNTTGGCTTATGGGCATAAGATTCTTCTGAGTACCTGAATGATCGAATTTCAAACTGAAACTTTGCCCATAGATAAAACTTATAAGCACTAAAAACTCCCCAAAGTTTGAGCCAGAACGAACGCATCCTTATCGAGATATCAGCTTGCCATGAAAATGCCTCTGTTTTGAAACACAGCTGAAAACTGGGCGTTTCTTTAAAATGTGAATATCTCGATAAGGATACATTTATTCTGGCTCAAACTTTGAGGAGTTTCTAGTGCTTATAAGGCAAATCTATTGACAAAGTTTCAGTTTGAAATTCGATCATTCAGGTACTCAGAAGAATCTTATGCCCATAAGCCAAAATCGAGTAAAAGGCCCATAACTCGACAACAGAAGGCTGGAAAACCAAACCATTCTAGGGCTTTTAATAACTCACTGAGGTCTATTGTTTGCGCACATGCCCGATCCAAAAGCGATTTGACAGTTGAATATGTTCCCTCGTGAGTATGTATGCGGCGCGGCTTTCTCTCTTTTTGATAGAAGAAATAATCGCTTAGGAATCGTTTGCCTTCAGAGAGTGTATGTGAGAGAAAAACTACAAAATAATTTTCATGGGATCATTTTTCACCAGGTTTAAATTTAGTCCGAGACGGAAGGTCATTTTTAGATGCATCTAACCACATCATAATTCTTTTTAGATACTGAGCTTCTTGCTTGATGTCCAATTGTTCATCTACCTCCTACCGACCAACAGCATAAACATCTTCTAATGGGAAAAAATCATGGTAGTTGGTAGAGTTTTTCACGCTACATCTTATGCTATAGAATGCATCATCATTCAGGTTCCTATTGGATCTACAAGAACGTCCGGGTAAAACTAGTTAAATTCTATAAGAGTTTCTTCCTACGAACCTTGGGAGTTGAATTATGATTGTTTATTGAAGTTTCGACCGAACTTTAGGTATTTACTGAAAAATCAGAAAGAAGAAATTTCGACGGAAATGTTTTGTCAAGATAATGAATTTTCCAGTAAACTCATGTCTTTTGTGTAATACCTGAAACAGATGACTATTTGTTGAAAAATCGATATCTCGAGAAAACAAAATTCTTTTCAGCTGAAACTTTTGAAATATTCTACGAGAGTTTGATAGTTTGTTTGTACTATTAGTTAGCAATCTTTTTGTTTTTCAAACATTGATTGAAAAGAAACCTAACAATAACTCATATAAATAATTTCATTCATTTGATCTAGATGATAGCGTCATCTGTTGATTAATCTGAATAAATAATAATAAAAAGAATGATTCTCAATCAAATATTTATCTCAATAAAACTTCTAATTTGACTTTTATAAATAATTTTAAATGATTATTTATTTACAATTATCGTCAATAGAGTGGATTTACTTAAATTCTAAATTCCAATAAAAACCATTCCATTGAATTTGTTTATTTGGATTGATTTCCATTAATTCATTGCACTTTATATTTTTCTATTGTGAATATCTATATGATTCTTTTTCTAGATCGAACATCATCATAAGAAATATATAAATATTCAAGTCTCATTTAAAACATCATGAGTCATCGAAAATTTGAACATCCACGACATGGTAATCTTGGATTTTTACCTAAGAAAAGAGCACGTCGTCATCGTGGAAAAGTAAAATCATTTCCAAAAGATGATCCAAAAAAACCGGTACATCTTACGGCTTTTCTTGGTTATAAAGCAGGTTAGTTTATTAATTTTAATTCATCAAAATTTTTTTTAATTCTTATATATATATATACACATAGGTATGACCCATATCGTACGTGAAGTCGATCGACCAGCTTCAAGTAAGTTTCTTCAAAACCAAAAAAAAAAGAAATTTAACAAAATATTTATTTTCATTTTCTAATTAGAATTAAATAAAAAGGAAACAGTTGAAGCTGTAACTATTATTGAAACACCACCTATGGTTGTTGTTGGTGTTGTTGGTTATATTGTAACACCACGTGGTCTTCGTGCATATAAAACAATCTATGCCCAACATTTAAATGAAGAATGTCGTCGTCGTTTTTATAAAAATTGGTATGCATCAAAACGAAAAGCTTTTTCAAAATATTCACAAAAATGGAATGATGATGCAGGAAAAAAAGCACTTGATAATGATTTTAAACAAATGACAAAATATTGTAAGGTTATACGTGTATTAGCACATACACAAATGAAATTATTACGTAAACGACAAAAAAAAGCACATATTATGGAAATACAATTAAATGGTGGTACAGTTGAAGAAAAAGTTAAATTTGCACGTGAACATTTAGAAAAACAAGTACCAGTTAGTCAAGTTTTTTCAAAAGATGAAATGATTGATGCAATATCAGTTACAAAAGGTCGTGGTTTTAAAGGTGTTACATCACGTTGGCATACAAGAAAATTACCACGTAAAACACATAAAGGTTTAAGAAAAGTAGCTTGTATTGGTGCATGGCATCCAGCACATGTATCACGAGCAGTTGCTCGTGCTGGTCAAAAAGGTTATCATCATCGTACGGAAATAAATAAGAAAATTTATCGTATTGGTGAAGCTATACAAGTTAAAGATGGTAAAACAGTTAAAAATACAGGTTCAACTGAACATGATCCAACAGAAAAAACAATTAATCCTATGGTAAAATAAAATTTATTATTTTTTAAATGAAAATAATTTACAATTTTTTTTTTGTTTTCTTCTTAGGGTGGTTTTCCACATTATGGTGAAGTTAAACAAGATTTTATCATGATTAAAGGTTGTTGTATTGGTCCAAAGAAACGTCCGATAACATTACGTAAATCACTTATACTTAATCCAAAACGTTCACATCGTGAACAAATTGAATTACGTTTTATTGATACATCATCGAAATTTGGTCATGGTAGATTTCAAACACATGAAGAAAAACGTATATTTATGGGTCCACTTAAAAAACATCGTCTTCAAGAAGAACAACAACTTACAACAACAGCAACAACAACACAAACAAAATCAACATAGATTTGTTTGTTTGTTTGTCTTTTTTTTTTTTATCATTTATCCTGCTGTTTTGATAAAATTTTGTTTTGCATATTAATCAGACGAAAGAAAAAAATAAAATATGCACGGCAGGATAATAAAGATAAAAATGCCGATTATAAACATAAATCTTTATATTTAAATAAGATTTATCTTTAAAAACAAAAGAATAAATTATTATTATTAAATAGTATTTATCTATTAATTTTTATTGCATATGAACAATATCATACGTTAACAACGTTATTTTTAAAATATGAAAATATAGAAATAAACAAGTCAAATCAAACTTGTTTAAGTCTATTGTAAATGATCAGCTCTTACAGAATTATAATATGAAGCTTATCAATAGATATCACAAAAAGATGACTCAATTTAGATCTATATATTATTATTTCTCTGAATTAAATATTCGAAAACCATACTCTTAACTTCACTGACAAGATAGGTTCCAATAATTTTCGACCAGGACGTAAATGAGCCTCATTAACTTCTATAAGAAGCCTTTTTTTTTTAAATTAGTTGCTATATTTCGTAGTGTTGAGTAGAACGCTATAATTATAATATGATTTAAATTTAAATTGTGTAGCACTATTTTCTTCCGCCAAACACCACTGAATTTAACAATTAATTAAAGAAATAAGATTTTTTATAACGATTAATAAGTCCAAGCCGAAATTCTGGTCTCCCGAGGGATTAAAAATTAGCAACTAATCAGGCGTTTTAAAAAAACATTTTTTCATGTCAAGTCAGGGATATTGAAAATTTTTTCTAAGACAAGTCAAGCTTGAATTGAGACATTTTTGACTTGACTTGATCAACTCTGTAAAAATGCCTTTATTGGGTGAGAGTTTTTTTTTTTTTTGAATCATCTTAATATTTACTTATAACTCAATAGTCAAATGTCACAGACAATTTCTAAGAATATATTCTCAACGAGCACTAAATACTGATTCTAACACACTAATTCTCATTCTGCTCGAATACATTTAAATACAGAAAAAATAGTCAAATATTTTGTCTAGAAACATTCGGTCTACTTCTTATAATCGTCATTATGTTGTTCAATTGCGCAAATGATAGAAGTGCAACGAGATATTATTTCAATTGAAAAATTTGTTTTTAATTAGATGATGACGAACCATATGATGAACTTAGTTAGTATTTGGAGAGGAAAATGAATTATCAAAAAGGTAAACCCGTATTAACATGATACGAAAAAACATTCCCCTGTACATTCATAATTATGACATGTGTCATTACCATTGCATTTCATTTCAGCATCATCAGTAACAAGTAAATGTAAACTTAACAAAATTGATCGTATATTGTTTTTATTGCTGCTTAACCCTTTGAGTCCTGAATTTTTTCTATTCAACCTAATTTGATGAAACCACTAAGAATGATAGAGCCAGGTGTGCTAATGAAGTTCCACTATAGGACAGATTTTGTTAATCCCATATTTTTATCCGAGGGCGGGTGCAAAATTGG